TCAACCCTTTCGACGCTAAGTCAGTCATCGATGGCTTACACTGTATTTTAGTGAGAAAATGACTTAAAAATAGACTTTTTTACCTGTTTTTCATAACAGAAAGTGACAGGGTGTATATCTAGATTTGACGTTGTTGGCTTCTTCATTCACACTCATACATAAACCCATCGAAATGCTTCTCTATTTTATGTTTGTTGAATACCATTAAATGAAAAACTAAATAATAAAACATATTATTAATTTTTATTAAAAAACACAAATTTTTTTCTTTCAGTTTTATACTTATTTTCAAGAATAATTCGACAAATAACTTCTCTTACACCTGGATTTTGTACTTTTTCATTTGTTAACTGTTGTAAATTCTATGAAGCAAAACAAAAATATGTCGGATTATTTTTACAAATTGATAATGGACATTGAGACTATCTCTCATCATAATACATAACTATTCTAGAAGTCATAGCCGTGTACATTTTGTTTAAAGATCAATGATTTACATATAGGTAAAAGTGGTAATTACATATATATAGAAAAAACGGGTTTATACACACATAGAAGTTTTGTTTTATTGATACAAGAAAAAGTGATAATGCAAGTAATATGAAAGGACAAGATTTTTATAGAAAACAATATATTATTAAATGACAAAACTAACAAATACGTATAAAAAATGAGAAGAACTATCACGATTATAAAATAAGCATAGTTAAAAATAAAAAAGTAAACTTTGTTCTTTACATATCCAAAATCACAGTATATGACATAAACATTCTCAGTTTTAATACAATCTCTTCGAAAATACTGTTATGATTGTTGACATGTTTCTATATATCATTTGCGATTTTTACAATATGGATAACATATCGCAAAAAGGCAATAATATAAAATAATAAGACCCGCTATAATTACGTATACATCTTCATTTGATGAACAATTAACGAAAGGTACACAAAGTCTTGATGATTTATCCGACAAATTTTCATCATCATTATTTGAAAATCTTGACTGATCTCTTGTATGTAAAGATTCAACATCTTTCGTTTTGATTGCTAAAAAAAACAATACATTTTAATTCAATATAAATTAAAAAGAAACGTACTTAATAAAAGAAATAAACAAATAAGGAATTGATTCATAGAATTATACTTTAAGTTTAATAATATTTCTAAAGAAAAACCTATAAACAGTAAAATGAAAATTGTATAATTAGATATCATTGAAATAAAATGCAGTGAAAGATATTTCTTTTCATTTAATGTGTCATACAAAACAAGAAGGATTTTTCTATCGTTGTTTATTTGAACATTACTTCCAAGTAATACATTCAACACTTGAATAAAAAGGAAGGAAAGAACCAATACAAATAAAGATCACCTTCAATAACAAATGTATACTCGTAAATTAGATTTCTTTTTCTATGAAATATTCTTATAATAGTATAAATATATATTATCTGCTGTAAGTCGTAGCCTTCATATTTAACACTTTCTCATACTTTCATTTGTGCATAATGTTACAGTTACAATTAAATCTGTTGATTGAATAAAGATCATGATTTATAGAATCATAGACACCGTAATCATATTTATCGATACGTTTCGCGACACTACGTTGACGTCGTTAGTCAGAAAAACAACAATAAATAAATTAAAAAGAAAGTTTTTATACAATATATGACAGAATGAATGAAAGACCTAGAATACTCGAACGAAATGTCTCAATAAATAGGATTACGATACCGATAATTCTACTTTTCTTGATCAAATGTATCCACCGAGTAAAAGAAGATGATTCATTAACCCTTTCGAGGCTAAATGAACTACCATTAGCTTACACTGTATTTTAGTGAGAAAATGACATAAAAAATAGATTTTTTTATGTTTTTCATAGCAGAAAGTGACAGGGTGTAGGTTTGACGTTGTTAGCTTATTCATCCACACTCGTACCGTCAAAACACGTTTTTAGAAAAATCTTACCTGAAACATTCGACCAGCAGCATCACTAACTGTATAGTTCCGTTTTCCATTCTGACGATTATGCCAATCTTTAATAAAAGGTATTATTGCATTATTAAATTCTTCAACAATATATCCAAGTGCTTCTTTATTTCCTATCTCTTGAATGCCAATCAATGAAAAACTAAATAATATTAGTTTTTATAAAAACAAAAAGCGTTTTTTTTTTATTTCATACTTATTTTCAAGAATAATT